TCTCTCTCTCTCTCTCTCTCTCTCTCTCTCTCTCTCTGTGTGTGTGTGTGTGTGTGTGTGTGTGTGTGTGTGTGTGTGTGTGTGCGTGTGTGTGTGCGTGTGTATTTGATTGAACCATTGACTCCTTGCTTTTATTGCGAGGCACAAGGCCTCGCCGTGCCCTAATGAAGCCCGTTTTCAACAATGCCGGCCTCCCTAAGTGAAGACAGGCCCGACCAAGGACAAGAAGCCTATATTCGGCTACCACGCAACTGGGGGAAATTCAGGCAGTTGCGCAGTGCCAGTTGGTTGAGAGCGCCCAGGCCCTGGCTGCCTTTTTCAAATGTAACTGAGGCAGGCCCTCGGCCAGATACGCAACATGGGCCGAACACCGGCTGCGGGCAGTTGAACACGGGTAACCGCTCTAGGCCCTGGGCCTGATTCCCTGGGCCGGGGCTCAGCCACTTGGGGCCTACCGGAGCTTCTGGGGAGGGCCCAGCGCAGCCAGGCCACACGCAGCGGGCAGGCCACTTCCATATAGGAAAGTGTCTGCCCCCGCATTTGGCATTCGGGCACTTGCTACATGCTGCGCAAGCACTGCTGCACTACAAGCAGGCAATCACCCACAGTCACGGGCGAGCCAGGGATGCGCAGGCAGCCATAGCCGAGCTGACCTGCGAGGGCGCATGGTGGTCCTTGGGTGCACGTGGCATCTGTGTGGGGGACCGAGGTTGTGAGAGATGCGAGAGACATACCTGGTGCTTGAGGCGAACGGCATTGGCCAAGATCTGCTCGTACTTCGGGGAGCTCTTGACGTCACCAGCGGAATTGCAGATAGGCTAGATAGGATCTGTCATTTGTAGTCTGGGCGCAGAGCACCAGATAGGAAATCGACATTGGTTCTTTGTTGATGATGATGAGACCATACCAACATTGTCACTTGTGAGCTTTTTCTGTGCTCTTTTTTGGTGGAACTCGAGTTGCAATCCTGCTTTTGGTTTGAGGTCACGACTATCTGGTTTCATTTCATGTGTATGATGCTGCTTTGTTTCTGGAATTCGCTATCCCTCATTTTCCTTGCATTTTGGTATCGGAGCTGTGGTACGTTGCGCTAATCTGGCGCTTGTCTTCTGCCTATGCGGTACATGCATGCGGTCTGCTGGGTGAGCGGCCGAAGGGAGTGTGTAGCAAGGAGGTCAAAGGCAAGCAGGCGACCCAGGTGGAGAGGGGTATCGGCAGGAAGGCTAAGAAGTGGTATATGGGTGTTTCACAGTATGATGAGAACTATCCAATGTGCGGTTGATGCTGAGGTGGAACGGCGGTGTAATGCTGGTTGTGCCGAAGCAGCGATTGGTCATCACAATCGACATCGGGTCATCTGGTGAGAATATCTGTGGTTGGGGGCAGCTATTTTGAGGTACGTTGCTCTTAACCTTATCTACCCTCTTCGACACTTCTTACCGTGAGGATGTGTGTTCTGTCTTGAGAGTCCTCTCACGTGAGGAGTCGAGTGCGCTCAACCTTGAGAGTCAGCATTGTTCACGTGGAGCATCTGGAAGGAGAGGGCGGAGTATCTGAACGGCCCTGGACGAAGCACTGGGTCACAGTCATCATGCCAACCCACCGGGAGTAGAGCACTCAGGCTTTGCTGCTTTGTCCTTTGTCTGCCTGCTGCCATGTTAGATGGGTTATTAGGGGCAGGCCAGCCCTACAGGGGAGACGAGTACCGGTCTATAAATAAGTACCGGAGGGGTTACCTTCCATTGGCTGTGATCATCGTCCTGTCTGCGACGTTAAAAAATTCCTGAGGACTTTGGGGGCCATCCTTAAACACCTCTTGATCAGCGAATTCGTTGGTGCAAGGCTCGCTGCACGCGAGGGTAAACATTGTGCAGAGCTGGCCAGCTCAGCATAGACTTGGGCCACAGGGGTGGGCCGTGTGCACACCTTTAGACATGCACGCTATCTGGGTTGCTCAGGAACGCTGACATCAAGCAACAATCAGGAAGAACTGAGGGAGGGGTAGATTTCAGGTGATAAGTTCGAAAAAAAAAATCCATTCTGCCAACAGCCCAATCTGCTTTCTGTTTGCAGACTAATCAAGTAAAAATAGTTTCGTTTGTAGGAATCTGGACTTACCTGTTGGACCCAAATGTGTATACTCTGACATAGCCACCGACTAATTATTTTATTTATTTTAAATCGGTCTGTGCACTACGCTGCGGTAGGCATCGAGTGTGACCTAGTGCAGATTGTGTACAATGCTGTAGCTTATGAGCGATAGGGAGGTTCCTGACCCGGACGATAGGATCTTGCGATCGGCAAGACGCCCGTTGGCCCACATGGCATTACGACCCGACGGTGATAGGTTCTTGTTCCGCCAGCTTAGGGAGAGAAAGCAGCAGCAGCGGAGAGCTAAGGCCGCAGAGGCAAGCAGGGTGTTCGCAAGCGAAGCCGCTACTTCAGCAGCCATGGCCACAGCTGCGCAGCAAAGCTCCCAGGCCAGTAGTTCAGGGACTGTAGGGACGACGATTGCACAGACCCTGAGTCATTCCGCTGGTGTCATGGCAAGCCAGCAGTTAGTGCTCACACCCGAGGAGGTCGCCATACAGAGAGCAAGTGCTCAAGAGGCACAGCTACAGAAGGCTTTAGATGAGATACAGGCAGAGAAAGAGAGAATGATCAGAAGAAGATCTAGGATGCAGCGGAGGCAAGCGGACATTAGGGAGTTAGAGGAGATGGACCTGACTGATGTGGATGATGATGTGAGGACCGTGAGGACAGCCTGTTAGATGTAGTAGAGATGTAGGATTACCACACACCGCTCTTGCAGGACATTCAGCAGAGCCTGGCCGTGCTGGCCGGGCGAGTTCAGGTAGCACCATCACCATCAGGGCCCGGTGCCTGGCCTGTGGTACAGCCTCCTCCTTTTGTCCCACCGGTGACTGGAGTATCCCCATTTGTAGTCCCTCCAGCATCGGTACAGGCCGCTTCCCTATTAGGCATGCCTTTAACAGGCGGGTTCTCAGCAGGTTCTAGTGTACAGGTTCCGGTCCAAACAGTGTTCTCCCAACCTCCGTTGCAGGCTGCCGTAACCGGGCAGCCTGCTATCTCGCAGCCAGCACAGCCACAGGGCACACAGCCCCAACAGCAGCTAGTGCAGCAGCCTGCACCCCAGGGTCCACAGCCTG